GAGAGACTACAAAGTCCGATGCGTTACGCCGTCTTGTCCCTTCAGTATCAACAGAATCTAAAATGAGAAGCACAGGAGTGTAGTGAGAGGGTCCAGCAGCTTTGCGATAAGCACAGAAGCCTGAATCCTTAACTCACCTCGGGAAAGTTACTTAACCTCTCCCTGCTTCTGTTTACTAATCTGTAAAATAATAGTACTTCTAAGGGGTGGGATGAGGATTCATTTAGTTAGTAGTTAGTTAGTAAAGCACTTAGTACAGAAGCAGGCTACAGAAGATCAAAAATGAAGGAAGAGCGTGTATTGAAACAGCACACTGTACCCTACAAATATGTACAAATAAATAAATGTTAAAATAAATTAAACATTTTAAAAAATGAAGGAAGACCAGTCTGATGAGTCTGTCTTTGCATAGTGCTTAATACAGGGATTAGATGCTTCCTAAATGCTGCTTGAGCCTGAAAGGGCTGCTGATGCTGGTGCTGCCTGGTTCTGACTTGAATGACCTATTGTTATCTTTGATTCTGCCTTGTTCCCTGAAGGGGTTTCCTGGGGAAGTTACACAAACCCCCCTACCATCCAGGCATGCTCTGCCATCTGGGCAGCAGACATGTTTCCAAGGCGTTCGGATCTGGCAGGGGAAGAAATGTTAACATCCGACACCNGGTTCAGTTTAGATTCTAGTTAAAGCTGCCCCTCAGAAATCTGATTTCAATTGTTCCTATGCTTTCTTATGTGGTTAAACCAACTGAAGCTGCAGCTGAGTTACGTTTCTTCTTCATAATGCTTACAAAACATGGTTGGAGCCAGGCAGTAAACACGGGGGAAACAGTGTGGCTCCCACCCGTAAATCTTAGCTCTGTAGAGCAGATGAAAACGAAGGAGCTCTGTGTGGGGCGTGTGCCTTGCCTCTTTGGTGTGGGTTTTCTTCCATTCCCATCAAACAGTGATAAGTTGGTAAGGAGACTCATCAGCCATATATGTAGTGTTATGTACTGCTTCCCTTGCTTATAGTTAAAAAACAACATTGTCCTTTATAAATTATTTTAAACAGAGCTTGCTTAGCTCAGGTATAGAGAAAACAGTGCTCTGCTTTCCTTGATTTGCTGCAGACAAAACAAAAGGGCCACTGGAGGATGTGTGAGAGCTTTGTCTTCCTGAGCAGTGTGGCCACATGATGGAGATGCCGAACTAGGGACTGTAAACAGTGCTGCCCCTTGTTGAGGAAAAGAAAATGTGAGCTGGCCTCCCTTCCATTTTATGTATTTATGTATCTAGGACGG